ATATATATATATATATATATGCACAAAGAAGTCAATGAAGTTGAGTCCATTAGATAGTATGACATCAGAAATGGACGTTAAATAAGAGCGCTGCTCTCCAGCCAAGGGCATGTATGTATGCCTGAGCTCTAAGTGCCTCGCTGATGGACGTTTTCATTCTTGAAGGCTGGGAAGATGAGCTGGACCTGTAAAAGTCGAGCGTTCATACGGAGCCTTACGTCCGCGAAGGTCTGAGGAAGGAGGTGGTTTATGACCCGTGTCAGTGGTGAGACCTAAAGAAGTTTTCGAGAAGCTGTTACGGAGCATTTGTCCTCTGCTTCCCACTTCTTGGAAAATATCTTTTTTCCTGGAATTTAAAAAGGGCACTGTTGTGCAGGTATTATCGAAGGGTACTTTCGAGGTATTAGCAAGATATGCAAATCTTGGGTATTAAATCTGAGCACAGAGTGTGGTATTATTAGAGCGTGAGAGCTCCGTTATCACAGCATTCGGGAAATGTAAGTGCTCTGCAAATGGACAGATCAGGACATGTGACCTGGTATAAAATAGTCAGCAACCTGGGACCAGCTAACGGAGCATTCGTTTACGTTTGAACACGCTAACTCACAGTCAAAGCGCATGGCTTCATCAGGAGATTATCGACTTGATGCACAAATATATTTTCCAGGAGAGGACTATTAACCCAGAAATATGGAAAAGACAGAAACAGGAACATATCCAGAAGCAGAATGAAGAATTATTAGGGTTACACAGACTGGTACAGTACATGTAGGTTAGCTGGCCTAAATACATTGAGCTAAGCTAAGCAGAAAGGGAGCGGTTCTCTGTGCTGGAGTAAATTACTAATTAGACAGGGGACCGCAGTGTTGTCCAGTCAGCACAGCTGCCAACCTGCGTCTTTATGCCTGGCTCGGGGCAGAGCCGCAGAAAATCTGGGCGCACGGATTGCCACCTGACTGCAAATGTGAAGTTCACCTTCTCTGTCCTGAAACCCGGCTGCAGCCAGGTCAGTTTCTGTCTGGATTTAAAAAGCACACAGTCTGACTGGCTGTTATTAAGAGCCTGATAGTTGGTCCCATAACGTAGCGGTTAGCACACCTGCCTTGCGAGCAAAGCGTCAGGGGTTCAACTCCGGAGGAACCACTTGCTTGGCTCCTCCTAGGGGCAGCCTGTGGTAGCAGATCTGCTGGTAACGCAAGAATTTCCCCAGTGTGAGATCAATAAGTTGAAATTCATTATTAATATTATTATTATCACTGTTTATTATTACTACTATTATTATCAAGAATTTAATTTTTTCAGTTCATCTCAAACCGAGTGGCCGTAGAAATACCAACTAAATATACTCACATACTTTTTCATACGAGTTTTTAGGCCAAACATTAACATCAGAACATTACAGTGAACATTACAGTTTTAGTTTCTCATCTCAAACAAAGCTTCACCTTCAGCTACCCTTTTTTTTCCCCCCTCACTTCAACCGGACCTTCAACAGGTGATCGGAAAACCCACTGTGGCTCTGACTGATGAGGATAAACATCGGGCACAGACTTCAGCTGAAAACAAACGAAAATGAAAATCTATGATTACATTTTATTCAATTAATTCTGACTCAACTCTCTGATGACCAGTTAACCCTTGTTTGACCTCAGCAGTCCTCTCCACAGTTCACCGAGTGAGCAATCAGCGGCACAGTAGGAGAGCCAGCATTAACAATAATAAAAAAATGAAACAATCTGTTGCAGAGTTTTTACACCTGATGTACCGAGGAATCAACCTGGTACTGTCAACAAAACAGGGAGGAGTCATCTATCACTGGACACGTTTATTTTTCAACATAAACGTTATTAAGGCTACACTTGAAAAAAAAAAAAAAATCTGGTTTCCCTCCCCCCGGGGGTCGTCGTCGCCAGGCGCATTTCCTCTACGACATTGTGCCTCAACGTTTATGCCTTGAGGACTTCACAACCACTGTCCCACTGGCACTGCACCATGGGAGCACAACTGTTAAATACAGACGTTTGAAAACCGCACAAATCTTTCATTTCTGGCCACACTCAGGAACATGACCCGACGATTGTGTTACCACGTCCTGTAAATCATCATTTCAGCATCTGAACAAGTTTGTGACACGTGATTAAAGAGAAATAAACAGAAAAGTGAATGGTAACCTATCTCCATGCTCCTTTTTTTAGCCTACAGTAAATGTGGGGTAACATTCTCCAGCATCTTAACGTGTTTGTGACACGTGATTAAACAGAAATAAACAGAAAAGTGAATGGTAAAATGTAAAAAGCGTATCAGTTTTGAAACCTATCTCCATGTTCCTTTTTTTAGCCTACAGTAAATGTGGGCCAAACTGTGGCTTGGACCACTAACAGTGGCACGCGTTTGCAGAAAACTGCTGACGCACGTAGCGCCGCCGCTCAACTTTAGCGGTAGTGAACACCTGGTGGTTGACAGAGTGTCTTTTGCATCTCCTGTAGCGTGGCCGCAGCTTCACTCTCCATCTGTCCCCGCGTGCACACTGTGGCTCGGCTGTGCCGTGACAGAACCGTTTCACAGCAAAAGTCATAGAACCGCCGCCCACATCCTGTCCGCTTCCAGAACTGAGAGAAGATCCGTCCTCTGCCCGGTCACAAGCTGGGCTAGAGTTGGACCAGCAGAGCGTCATGTGACACATGCCCGGTCTCACCTCTGACTGCACTGCAGCCTCATTAGTAACACTGAGCCAGGAGTCAGGGGCAGGGAAACAAAGGACAACAAGACTTGGGCAAACTAAGGCCCGGGGGCCAGATATGGCCCGTTGACCCAAACGTTGACCACCGACAAACTTTGTTACACAAACAGAGAGAACCTCTACTGTAAACTACATCAGAACAACATACATGCAGAGACACTCTAAGACATATGTGTCAAACTCAAGGCCCGGGGGCCAAATGCGGCCCGCCAAGCCGTTTTGTGTGGCCCGTGGGAGCTTAAAAAGCATTCAGTAAAGTTCATGCAGCAGAGATTCTTAACCTGAGAAATTGAAATGTTTTGTTTATTACACGACAATGAACAATATTTGCAGGGGGTGGGGGGTGTAAAACTACACCTTATGACTACGCTGACCACCAATG